AATTTCTGCTCGAGGTTCAGTCTTCAGCTCCTTTGGAGGAGGAAGGCAGAGCCTGGGCGTGGGGGCCCCACCCTTGCTGCTGCCTCCTGTGGCGTCCTGGCCCTGGGCCTCCCTGGTGCCCTCTGACCTGGGCTTTCTCTTGTGTTGGAGGACTTGCGGTCTGTCTGTTTCCGCTCTGTGGTTTCAGATCCTCTGTCAAGGCTTTGCCTCTTGCGGACTTTCACCCACACTTGCGCAGTCCCCGTCGGCCCTGGTGGGAGCACCTGGGGGCCCTTACTATGGACTGCAGGGGAGGCCTGGGAGAGATGGGCCTCAGGAAGGGCCCCAGAGCCTCAGTTTCCCACTCTGAGTTGGGGTCCACCCCTGCTTCGCCATGCCTGGCCAGAGCGGGCATACCTCATCTGCTTCTAGGCCCTGGTCTGCGAGGACCGCGGAGGATGGGAGGGCTGCTGCTCCTGGTGGTACTGTTGGCGGGTACAGAGCCAGGGCTGCATGGAGGGCACGGCGCACCCAGCCCCTCTACAGGGTAGGTTTAGGCCATGTCAGGAAGGCTGGCATCCAGCCCTGCCACCACAGTTCCAGCTGGACCCTCTGCTCTCCCAGGAGAAGGGGCGTTTACCTAGAAGACCAGACCTCCCCCTGCTGCCCATTCCCCAGCAGGCAGGTGGAATACAGGGGATAGTGGGCCTCAAGTGTGCCACTTGTGTCTGGGGTTCCTTTGGCGCCCTCTCCAGCACACCTCTGGCCATGCCACATAAGTCCCTCTCATTGGCTCCAGCTGCTTGCAGGGAGCAAGGTCATGGTCCCCAGGTCACCTAGTGGGGTGCAGGAAACTGAGCACGTGTGCCAGGCAGGGGCAAGGAGAAGGCGCATCATCTTTCACAGGGTGCAGACCAGGATGTAGAGGGTGCTCAGCCTCCAGAGCAGGGGAGCTCATGGCCTGTCCTGCTTTGTCCAGACCCCGCTTGTTTTTAGCCCCCATCATGCAGCAAATCCCAGACACATCCCACTCACACACCTTCCACCATGAGTCTCTGAAAGGGCCTTTGAAAAACCAAAACCTTACAGGTGGCCGTGGCCCATGTCTGTAATCCCAACAACTCGGGACTGAGGCAGGAGGATCGCAAGTTCTAGGCCAGCCTCACAAGTAAGTTAGGCCCTAAGCAACAGGGTGAGACTCTGGTCTCAAAAAAATAAAAAGCACTAGGGATGTGGCTCTGTGGTCAAGGCCCCCTGGGTTCAATCCCTGGTATTAAAGAAAATCATAACCTCAATACCTTCACGTGAATCTATCAGCACCAGTTCCAAAAGATGGTCAGGTACTTGGTCAGCATTGGGGTCACTTCCTTGGCTCGCTCTCCAACAAGCATTTCTAGCAAATTAGCACCAGACTCAGGCTCCAGAAGCCCACATGCTTCCCCGCATCACCCCTTGGCCCTGGGCTCCAGGCCTGCTCTTGGTCACACTGGCCTGGTTTGTGGACTGTACAATGGAGCCTGCCAGCCACCTGCCCTCACTCCCTCCCAGGGATTCCCGGCTCTTCATAGAAGCCAGCCCCAGCCACGGTGGCCTTCCTTGCCACTAGGTCACTCTCTTGTAGGTCCCAAAGCTCTGGGATGAAGTTTTCCCCCCTAATTGTTCTGCAGTAGAACTTGTCCCCTCAGCAGAGGGAAGGCTGACCTTAGAGTGTTTGTTTTCCTGCTGAGGACTGTCTGGGATGGGAGGTGACCTCGGGCCTGGGGGAGGTGTGCGTACAGGAGGGACACCCCTGCCCCATGGAATGCAGACCTGGCTGGTCAGGCTGAGGAGAGGCAAGCCAGCCAGGGCTTGGGCTGGGAGGGGGCAAGGGGTGAGGGCTGTCCTGGTACACTGAGTGCAATTCTGACCTTCCTGTTTCCAGAGCTGGCTTGGGGCCAGCATGCCAAAAGTCTGTGGGGTGTCAGATAGGACCCCAGATGTCACTTTGGTAGGCTTCATGGGACCCCTGGGGTGACTGGGGACACATCCCCTGTGCCCATGGGCACATCCAGCTCTAGCATTTGCCAGGTGGCTCCTTGCCCCCCAAACGTCCCTTCCTCATAGGTGGGGAGCTGTGGCCTTGGGGCTCCCTGCCTGCCTGGAGAGCTCTTGGGGTGACGGCCAGGAGCTGAGAGCTTTTAGGGTCAGGGGGCCTGACTCTGGGTCCCAAATGGCGAGCTAGCTCTGTTGGAGATGTGCTGCTCACTCGGCCAGCGGCCCACCCTCTGTCCACCCAACCTGGGGCTTGGCATGGCCTGGTGACCACACCTTCCTGGACGGCCTGGTGTCCCGCTCGTCCCCTTGCTGTGGTTCTCCAGCTCTGCAGTGACCTCATTCCAGGAGCACAGGAGGGAGAGACACAGGGCCTGGGCCCGATGCCCATCCTGCATGCTCCACGGTCTGTCTGGTGGGTCACAGTTGTGACGCGCAGCTCCGTTGTGAACACGTGTGCATGGTCTGGGCAAGGGGGCTACTGGCGTATCCCCTCACGTCCTTGGTATTTCCGTCAGTCTTCCTACTGGGCCCTGCCTGCAGGCCCAGCCCACGGGGCACTGGTGACTCAGAGCCAAGGAGGCGCCCCAGCAGGGCTGAAGGTCCTGCCTGGGTGCCCTGTGCCCACCTTACCACTGCCCAGCCTGGCCTCGCAATGTGCCGTCCCAGGGTCTGTCTCAGGTCATTTCTTTCTGGAAGCCTTCTGGCCCCCGGCCTGCTGGGCAGTGGCTTGGGCCACAGGGTGATGGCGCCCCTCAAGGCTTTGCTGCCCCCAGGTTGTCCTGGCAGTTTCTGGGCCTCCCTCATTCTTGTGGGTTCAGCGCTGGTGTGGCGTGGTGTGGCGTGGCATGGTATGGCATAGCACAGCGTGTGCCGACGCCTGGTTCACGCAGCTCTGGTCTGGTGGAGGGTGGTGAGGTGGCAGGATGGCAGAGTGAGCCAGGACTCTACTGGCTGTTGGTGGCTTTCCCCAGACCTGCCACTCTTCCAGGCTCAGCTTGAGGTGTGCCTGGAAGAGCAGGTGCTGCCTGGGGCTTTTGGGAACCACCAGGACCCCGTCTCAGAGCCCCTTCCCACCTCCCCTCCCCCTCCCCTGGAGGCTGGGCTCCCTGAGCTCTCTGGTTGGGTATGTTCCCCAGCCCATGTCCTGCTGTCCCTCGCCCATCTCTACCAGGCGCCTTGGAGTGAAGGACGCCTTGGAGTGGAAGGGCCTTGGACCCCTTCCAGGCACATGTGTCCCCTGTGTCTCGGGTCCTGGGGTCCACACACTGGCTGCACAGGGAGCAGGCTTCCCGTCACTGGGAGGCAACTGGGGTGCAGCGCAGCCTCCTGTCCTGGGGCTGGGCCTCCTGTGGCAGTCCTAGCTGCCCGAAGGCCACAGCCTCGGCTCCACATCCAGGGGATTCCAGAAGTTTCCGAGAGGCCTGGGAAAAGTGAGGACTAGCATGGCTGCAGCAGCTACATGTCCCAAAGCCCTGTCACTTTGGGCCCTGCTGGCCAGTGTGGTGTCAGGGGAGGCCTAGAGGGTTTTGAACAGTGAGTGCCTGGACCTGGCTTCTGGTGAGCAGGTCTTGACCAGAGTGCTGCTGCTAAGCAGAAATGCCCTGGTAGGCTGGGGGTAGGAGGAGCCCCCGAGGGTGACCCAGGCTTGTGCCTAGCCGCTGTCTCAGGTCATTTCTTTCTGGAAGCTTCCTGGAGGTGAGGACACAGCCTTGTGGTGATTGGCCCATACTGGTGGGGCTGCCTTCCCCACTGAGCCACCGCCGGGGCCGGTGCCCAGTTGGCCAGATGTAGGACCTTGAGGCGCCCCAGAATGGCGCCCTGGGAGCTGCTGTGCAGCACAGCTCCTGATGGCCAGGGGCCCTTCTCTGAAGAGGGACAAGCAGGGTGGGGGCCTGATGGGCAAGGAGTGGCTGGGCTGGGAAGGAGCAGACGTTCTGTTAACGACCAGCGTTCTGGGGGCAGAGCCCTGGTTTGTGGCCCTTGCCAACTGTGGTGCAAGTACGCCCGCTGTGGCATTGGACGGGGCCAGCAGGACATCAGCCGGCTCCCAGCCCATCTTCACTCTGGAGAGACTTGCCAGTGGCTGTCTGGCATCCAGTAGAATCTGGCTCCTCTCCAACATGGGCATTACCTGGAAAACCTAGAGGGCAGGGGTGCAGCGCCAGCCCTGGCCTGGAGTGAAGGGCACACAGTGAAGCTGCCCAGCTTCCTGCTCCGGAGAGTGAGGGTGGGTGCGGGTGCCCAGCACATGCTGCCAGGGCTCTTGCTTTCCCCACGGTTCCCGCTGTCCCAGCCATTGGTAGGGCTGCCAGGGCCTCGGCTCTGGTAGGGCCAGTGTTCCCAGCAGCTCCAGCCCGGCCTAGGGCGGCTCCCCAGCCCCTTGTTTGCCCTGAGGAGCAGAGGAGGCGGACTGCAGGGTCGGAGCCGCCTCCCTCGCTGTCCTGATTGGCCGAGGGCCAGGCCGTGTCACAGCCAGCCGCCATCACAAACCCCAGAGCTGTTCTCCTGGTTACGTTAGAACTCGCCCCGCACCACGCTTGTAGTAGACACGTGTCGGTCACTGCTGATCCCGCCGGCCCTGGCTCTCCTGGGGCTGCGTTATAGTTCTCTGCACTTTCTCTGCTTGTGGATTGTCCTTAAAATCTTGCCACAGCCAAGAAAAGTGCAAGGTTTGGGGAAAGCAAATCAGCCCTGGCAAGTGGTGGTTTGGTGGGCGGCGAGCCAAGTGGCTTCGTCCTCGGCACACCCGTCTTTAGCCGTGTTCCCACCTGCAAGCAGGTGGCCTGTGCTGTCTTACCCCACCATCCGGCACTCCTCCTCCCACAGGTTGACAGACAGTGGCTGGAGAGGCCCTCTGTACAAGTGACAGCTACATATCAGGGCAGGTGGGAAGGCCAATGGCCTTGCTGGGACCAGGCGGTGTCTTCATTGAGGTGGCAGAGGTGGGGACTCTGGGGTGACGGGTTTCTGTCCTTGGTCCCCTGCAGGTGTTGCCTGGTTGGGCCCAGAAATGGGATGCCAAGCCTCTTCAGGGAGCACAGAAGGCGCAGGGGCCTTTTGGAGCTGCAGCCGTGACGGCAAGTGAGCCAGCTGCTGGAGGATGTCCACAACCACCACGGCCGCCCCTGCGGGGATCCCGGCGGCTCCGGGCCCTGTGAACCCACCCCCGCCCGAGGTCTCCAACCCCAGCAAGCCCGGCCGCAAGACCAACCAGCTGCAGTACATGCAGAACGTGGTGGTGAAGACGCTCTGGAAGCATCAGTTTGCCTGGCCCTTCTACCAGCCCGTGGACGCAATCAAACTCAATCTGCCTGTGAGTAGCCCTGCGCCCGAAGGCCCTCTGCCCACCCTGGGCTCCCAGCCTTGCCCCTGTGTCTTGGCCAGGTGATGCTGGAGATGTGGCAGGTGCTGTTAAGCCGAGGACAACCTGTGCCTCCAGTAGCCCACAGCCCCAGGGTAATGGCCTGTGACCCCCAGTAGGAAGGAGCAGCAGGGCTATGGGCTTATGGGAGAGTGGGCGGTCAGTCTTGGGTGCAGGAGTTGGGGAGCAGGCAGGAGGTGCCGACATTGTTGGGGCTCAGGAGCAGATCTGTGCAACTGAGGCCTGACCTGGGGCCGTGTGCATGTCCGCCCGTCACACCCACTTGTCTTCCGATGTCAGCTGCACACCAAGACCTGAACTCTAGGCGATGGTGCCCCCAGCATCTGTTCAGTATTGGTCTGGACCCAAATAGAGAAACCCTGAGAATTGCGAGGAGAATCCCCTGCCCTGTACTTGGTGGTCTGGATTCTTGGCCCAGCTTGGCCCCTGGCCACTGGTGGGTTTAGAATGCCTAGAATGGGCCAGGCACAGTGGTGCACGCCTGTAATCCCAGCAGCTCAGGATCCCAAATTCAAAGCCAGCCTCAGCAGCTCAATGAGGCCTCGTCTCTAAATAAAATATAAAAAAAGGTCTGGGATGTGGCTCAATGGTTAAGCAATCCTGGGTTCAATCCCGGATACTGAAAAAAAAAAAGTTACCTGGATGGGGCTTGGCCCCTTCTGTAGCACGTAGATCAGCTCAGGGTCTGCAATAGCTCCAGGTAGGTGTTTTGGACTGGCTGTAGATGGTCTCAGACCCAGTGCTCACCTGCCCTCAGGTGGCCCAGCTCTAGCACCCAGCCCAAGGACCTCATTATGACCCCTTGCTACACTTGGGAAGTGAGAAAGTAGTCATGCAGAATTTCTTGTGATACCTCTGAAAATCTCTTTTCTAGGATTATCATAAAATAATAAAAAACCCGATGGATATGGGGACTATTAAGAAGAGACTAGAAAATAATTATTACTGGAGCGCAAGTGAATGTATGCAGGACTTCAACACCATGTTTACAAATTGTTATATTTACAACAAGGTAAGAAGACACCAAGTGTGGCTCCAGATGCTGGTTTGGGCCCAGGATGGCCTAGTCCCTGGGTGGCCTTGGCTGGGTTGGCCCCAAGGGCTGGTTCCCCATAAGCCAGGGGGCTGTGGAGGTGCTCAGGCTCGGAGCACAGCCGGCCCTGACCACCCGCAGCCTTGACCTCCTTACCTGGGCCTAGACATCTTACCCCAGCGACCCTCAGTGCAGCCTGAGCTTGACCCGCCTGGCTGCCCGGACAGCAGGGAGCACTCCTGCTGAGCAGAGCTGCCGGCCCAGTGGTTTCAGGGAGGGCCGTTTAGGGAAGTTGCCCGGGGTCCTGGTTTTGTGGCGTTTTTTTGGTTTTATTTTTGGGGGTACCAGGGATTGAATAGAGGGGCACTTGATCACTGAGCCACATCCCCAGCCCTGTTTTATATTTTATTTAGAGACGAGGTCTCACTGAGTTGCTTAGTATCTTGCTTTTGCCGAGGCTGGCTTTGAACTCACGATCCTCCTGCTTTAGCCTCCCGAGCTGTTGGGATTATAGGCGTGGGTCACTGTGCCTGGCTTGTTTTTTTTTTTTTTTGATAGTACATACCTTAAGTAGAGGTGAAGGGTACTGGGCTGTTTGCGGCTCTTTGTCCCCATGGGATGGGATGAAGGCTACAATTTTGTTGTTTTTCTTTTTGGTTGTGTTGTGGATGGAATCCGGGCCTCGGGCATGCTGGGCATGCTGGGCAAGCACTCTGCCCCATGATACCCCCATGGCGGCTGTTTCTTATTTATTTTTTTGAGATACTGGGGATTGAACTCAGGGCTGCTCTACCACTGGGTCACAACCCCAGCCTTTTAAAATTTTTTATCCCGAGGCAGGGTCTGCTGAGGCTGACCTAAAGCTTGCCACTTTCCTGCCTTAGCCTCCCTGAGCCACGGGGGTTGTGGGTGCATGCCACCGCACCTGGGTGGCTCTGGGAGTTTCCACACTGAAATATGTTTGTCTAGTGTCCTCTCCACCAGGCCTCTTAACAGATTCTACATAAAGGCTTCCTTGAACCACAACCCACAGTGTTTTTTGCAGGATCATGCTCCTTTCCCAGCAAGTGACCCGGGCTCTCTGTCTTTAGCCCACAGATGACATAGTGCTAATGGCCCAAGCCTTAGAGAAAATTTTTCTGCAGAAAGTGGCCCAGATGCCCCAAGAGGAAGTTGAGTTATTACCCCCTGCTCCAAAGGGCAAAGGCCGGAAGCCGGCTGCGGGGACCCAGAGTGCAGGTAAAGGGGAGGGGGATGGGGGATGTTCTGTCCATGGCGCACAGGTAGATGGGCTGGGGTGCCAGGCCTGTGGCCCTCGGCCATTTCCCTGTCCACTGGGTGGGATGGGTGGGATGAGCCTGCAGGCGCCAGTTTGTGCTGGAGAGGTGGCTAGCCTGGGGGCAAGGAGGACATTGACATTTTTGCTGGCACGTGTCCCTATTCTCCCCTTCCAAATCTTTCTCTGCTGTCTAATTGGTGACCCGAGCGTCACTGTCATCTGTCTTGCTCCTTGTTGGGGAGCCTGGTGGTAGAGTAGCACAAGCGCTGGGGTTGGGCTGACCAGGCGGGTTATGGAGGAGAGGAGCCAGGTAGAGGAAGACGGCCATGCAGCTGCCTGCACGGCTGGTTACCGATGATGGCCAAGTTCTGTCCCAGGTCCCTTGACCGCACAGCTGGTTCTTGGTGCCAGGCCGCGGGGCTTCTCTTGGTCTCCTCCCGCAGCCTCCTCTGGTTTCTGGCCAGGGGTGCTGCTGTCACAGTGAGCACTCAGCCAAGGTGAGCCAGCCCAGCTTCTGCCCCAAGGTGCAGGACTGGGCTCTTGGCCAGGTCGGGCTCTGCTCTCACAGCCGGCCCCGGATGCACTCTGCTAGAAGGCACGGTCCTGGGTGCTTCTGGAGATGCAGCAGAAGCCTCCTGTGCTGAGTTTCTGTCCTTGTCTTGAAGGTACGCAGCAAGTGGCGGCCGTGTCCTCAGTCTCCCCAGCGACCCCCTTCCAGAATGTGCCCCCCACTGTCTCCCAGACGCCTGTCATTGCTGCCACCCCCGTACCAACCATCACTGCGAATGTCACATCAGTCCCTGTTCCCCCCGCTGCTGCACCGCCTCCTCCCACGACGCCCATCGTCCCTGTGGTCCCTCCCACGCCGCCTGTTGTCAAGGTGAGCATCTGGGGCCTGAGGTGGTCGTCGTGAGGTGGCTGGGGCCGACCTGTTGGGCTCCTGCAGTGGGCAGGTCCAGGGTGGGAGGGGAGCTCTGCGCCTCCCGGGGCTATTGGCTGTTTGGAGATGTTCTCTCTGCACAGACGAGGAGACCGAGGCTCAGGGGCTGGAGGTCACACGGCTGGTGAGGGCCGGGCTGGACTTGAACCCCAGCTTCTCTGGCCAGGCAGCCCTGGCCTTACAGCCCATTGGTCAAGGTGGGAAGGTGTGGGAGAGCAGCATGGGGGGCAGTCCCTCTCCTGCTCATGCCTGGGGAGAGCGGTGGCCAGTGAGTGGCACTGCTGGGTGTTGAGGGCCTCCGTCCACCCTGCTTGCTGGGAGCTCTTCACCATGGGCACCGCCCCTTCCTGGCTAGGCCTGGCTCTCCCGCAGGACGCGGCTCACGAGGCCCATGCAGCCACTGACACGTGTTGTCTTCTTCGATTTGATCCTCACAGCTACCCTCTGGGGCAGACAGTAGTCCCCCCTCTTACAGATGAGGAAGCGGGCGTCAGGGTTTAATGGCTCTCCCAAGGTAAAACGCCACCCCCGTCGCTTTCCCCTCCCCGTGGCCTTCACTGCCTGCACTTCTGGGTGGCGCCTGGCCAGGCCACTTCCCATAGCGCGGGGCTGTTTTGGAGCATGTCCCGTTTGCCAGAGCCAGATGAGCCTGTCCCCCTCCCCGGGGCCCTCTGGGGCACGCGCTTTGTGCTTGGCATCCTGTGGGTGCCTGTTAACTGTCTGTGGAAGCCGGCTCATGCCCCCGTCAGCCTGAGGGCAGCAGCTTAGCTGGGCATCGATGTGGGCCACTCTGACAGCAGACCCCTGGGCAGCTGGCAGCCTGCTGGGGAGCTGTGGCTCCCTTTGGCTTCTCCTCCCACCTCATCTGAGCTGACGGCTCCACCAAGCTGGTCTCGGAGCACGTCGAGCCCTGCCCCTGACTCACCGTGATGCCCGGGGCCCTCTGCCCCTGCAGGCTGCGGGAGAGACCCTCACACCTGGGCTGCGTGAGTGTCAGAGCTGCTTGTGATAGAGGCCCTGTGTGCTGCCACCGGCTCTGCTTCAGGCCTGGCCACACAGCACTCTGCTGCATCAGGCTCCTGGCCTAGAACAGCCAGTGGTGGCTGCCCATGCCTCTGGACAGTCCAGATGTGCCAACCCCACAGTTCCTGGAGTCCCTTGTCCTCAAACCTGCTGTGGCTGCTTCACGTCCCCTGGTCGGGCTGCCCCTGTCTAGCCCAGAATGCTCCTGCCGCCCCCCTCATCCTGCACCAACCACTGTGTCTGTTCTTGAAGCCCAGCTCGGGGTCCCCTTCTGGCGCTCTCTGTTGGTCTTTAAAAGCAGGGAGACCCCCATTGTGCAGCCCCTGGTGCTGGGCCTGGGCTGAGGTGGGCCTCAGGTGTTGGGTGGGTGGTGTGTGGCTCATGCCACCCAGGGTGGTAGTGAGCGAGCCCACCTGGACGGCGGGGCCCTCAGGACCCAGGGAGAGAGGTGAGGCCCTCAGGTCTGGCAAGGGCAGGCTTCAGAGTCCTAGCCTCACCACTGCCAGCTGTGTGACCATGGCCAGCAGCTGGCCACTCTGAGCCTCGGTGTCCTCTGTAGGGAGTTCGCAGCGAGACTGCGTGAGGTCTGCGCTCCAGAAGTGTGTGCCTCGAGACACGTGCCCACGCCAGGGCCTTACCTTGGGTGCTCACTGGTCGCTTTGCTCTCACAGAAAAAGGGCGTGAAGCGGAAAGCAGACACAACCACGCCCACCACGGCGGCTATCACCGCCAGCCGCAGTGAGTCGCCCCCGCCGCTGGCAGATCCCAAGCAGGCCAAGGTGGTGGCCCGGCGCGAGAGTGGGGGTCGCCCCATCAAGCCACCCAAGAAGGACCTGGAGGATGGCGAGGTGCCTCAGCACGCGGGCAAGAAGGGCAAGCTGTCCGAGCACCTGCGGCACTGCGACAGCATCCTCAGAGAGATGCTGTCCAAGAAGCACGCGGCCTACGCCTGGCCCTTCTACAAGCCAGTGGACGCCGAGGCGCTGGAGCTTCATGACTACCACGACATCATCAAGCACCCCATGGACCTCAGCACCGTCAAGGTGGGCGGGGTGCCCCGCCAGCTGTCCCACGCCTGTGGCTGCCTGTCCCTCGGGCAGGGAGGCCTTCACGATGGCCCACCTTGTGGCAGGCACGACTTAGAGCTGCCGGTGCTGCCCTCGAGCCCCAGGTCTAGGTCCTTAGCAGGCACCAGAGCTGGGTGGCCACCGCTGGAGGTGAACCCAAGCTCCCGTCCCCAGACAGGGTCTCTCCAGACCCTGCCTTTTGCTGGGCTTGTGTGTCTTCTGCCAGGTGGAGCCAGGCGGGTCTCAGCCGAGTGGGCCTCAGTGGGCCATGACGTAGAGAGAGGGTGCAGCCTGGGCTGGGCCGAGGTCCCCACAGTGCTCTGCCCTCCTGGGCAGGGCAGCTCTGGCAGGCGTGGCCCACCTCTTGGGCCCTGGAACGATTCCTATGTGCGGGTAGTGGTCCTGTCCGTTGTTGGCATTTCATCTGCGGAGGCTGATTTAGCCCTCAGCCTCCGTTCGCAGTAATGACAGCCCAGGGCAGGTCCGGTGAGGACATCCTGCCCGGTGGGCAGTGGATGTCTGGAAGGCCTGTGCTCACTTGGATAAAGTGCCCTGGGTGTGACACTGAGGGCAGAGCCTCAGCCCAGAGGTGTCAGGAGCCTCCGCTCGCTGTGGCTGGGCCCCTGTGTCTGCACAGGCTGCAGTGGCAGCTTCCGGAGTGAGGCTGGGGGTCTGGCATGTGGGCTGCATCAAGACCTGACCTGCCGTGCTGGTTCAGAGGGGCTGGTTTGCTCTTCTCCAGAGTAAAGTCATTTTGCAAGCTTGGTCCACTTTGAAGTCACAGCATGCTTTGGGCCTCCCGGGCCCCTCACGCTGGGCAGAGCAGGGTTGCCTAGATGCACTGTCCACAGCTGAGCCCGGCTTCACCACCACTGCCGTGTCCTTCACGAGCAGGTTGTAATAGAAAAGAGCACAAGGCAGCCACAGCTCTTAACATCACCTGACAGTAACAGACCATGCCCCACACCACAGGGGCGTGTCCCCGACCACAGGGGTTGTACCCGGTTGGCCCCGGGTTCCGAAAGTAGAGCTCTGGGCATAGAGCTCTGGGCGTGTCTCATCCTGGCACTGTTGAAATTGGACGTCAGGTTTTTCCCCCGATATCAGAAGGTTTTCTGGTTTCCCATGTCCCCAGACAGTCCTCTGTAGAGGGTGCGTGACCCAGAGGCACGGGGTGGCTCCTGGAGGAGGCTGCTCTGACCCCTGGGAGTTGGTGCCCAGCCATTCCATCTCACTGGCACCTGGACTGACAGCCTCCTGGGCCACCCCTTGTCTGCTCTCCCCTCAAGGCCCCGAGTTCTGGCCTCCACAATCAGTTTGTCCTCCATGGTGACCTTGAGATGTCCCCTTGTGGGTGGTCCCATTCCTGTCTTCCCCTGCCCAGCTGCCCCTCCCCAGCTTTGTGCCTCCAGCCTCACCCACCGGGGCCCTCCAGGCCTAGGCCACAGGGGCTCTGTGGCTCCCTGCTGGCCCCAGGCTCCCTGGAGGGGGCATGACTGCCTTTGGGCTCTGAGATGCTGCTTCTGTAAGCCACAACCTGGGTGACAGTGACCAAATCCCCGTGAAAAAGATGCGATGTTTTGTTCTGTAGCTGAGCAGGCTTCTTGTGGTCGGCAGGGTGGAACCTCACAGGAGAGCCTTCTGTGTGGGGTGCTGACTGCTACATGGAGTCAGGAACTCCGGACAAGGGAGGGTTGGGTGGTGGTGAGGACCGCGACTCCTGGCAGAGTGCCTCTTCCAGCCAGGGACTCTGTCTCCACATTCCACTTGCCCTTCTAAGCCATCGAGTCCCTTCCCCTCCCTCCCTGTGGGCGCCCACACCTGAAGTTCCAGAGAGCTGGGGTGTCCTGGCTGGTGCTGCGTTGGGCTTGTGTGACCCTGAGTCCATCCTGCAGGGTCTGCTTGGGAGTGCGTGCTCGCCAGACCCTGCTCACTCATGCCTACTGCTTGTGTGTTGCAGAGGAAGATGGACAGCCGCGAGTACCCAGACGCACAGGGCTTCGCCGCCGACGTCCGGTTAATGTTCTCAAATTGTTATAAGTACAACCCTCCAGACCATGAGGTGGTGGCCATGGCCAGGAAGCTCCAGGTAACCTGAGGCTGGGCATAGGAGCAGTTAGAGCTGACTTGGCACTGGGGGCACCCGGACCCCAGATACAGGATGGGCACCCAGGAGGGACACAAGTGTCTCAGAGATACCGAGCTAGGAAGTCTTGGGGGAGCATCATTCAAAACCCATTTTCCATGGGTGCTGGCTTGAGGCTGGCTTGAGGCAGGCTTGGAGCCTGGTGTTCAGATGCTGTGGTAGACAGGCTAGCCTCCACCTCCAGGAGCCGCGGGCTGCTGGGGACATGGCCAGCGAGCAAGCAGTGACTTCATGGCTGCAGGATCTTGTGCCCACCTGCAGGCCTCGCAGGGTGTTGCTGCCGGAGGGCCTGTCCCTCCAGGGCTGACTGGGGTGCAGCTCTCCTGCTCCTGAGGCTCAATCGTCAGGCCAGGGCCACCTTACTGTACCTCCCCTGGCGGCAGCCACAGCACTGGATTGAGCATGGGAGCTGCAGACCGCCTGCGGGGGGGGGGGGGGGGGGGGGGGGGGGGGCTCAGCCTCTGCCAGGAGCATGTGCCTGGGCCTCGCCCTGAGGCCTGTGCCTGGGCCGGACCTGCCCTGTTTACCTCTCAGGCTCCGCTGCAGGTTGTTTGCCGTTTTAAAGAACAGTCCCAGTTGTGTGCACATATGGACCTGTGACAGTGAATCCCATTGTACACAATCATAATGCAGCAGTAAAAAGTATGGAAAAAAATAAAGAAGAGTTTCAAGTTTATATGATCAACAGCCCTTTTGGTGGGGAAAACAAATCATGGCTGATATTTGTACAGAACGTCCTGAGAGCCGTTCTGACTCCCTGGCTTAGGCCCATCCTGGCGCCCCGTGGGGGAGCTCCAGGTGGCGTCCTGGGTTACGCTGCCAGCAAGCTGTTTGGGCCCTCTGTGCGGTGGCCCGGTGAGGCCCTTCCCCACAGGGCTGTGCCTGCTGGAGCACAGGGCAGAGCCACCCCAGAGGTCCCTGTAGACCCCAGAACTGTGCCGAGACCCTGCTCACTCTTTTGGACCCCGAGGCTCTGCCAGACACTGCTCCTTACCAGGGACGCTTCTGGGCTACAGCCAGCTGTGCTTGTGCTCAGCAGAGGCTGCAGCTCTGCCGCTGTCTCCCGAATCTGGCTGTCAGCAGCCCAGCCCCGGAGGCTGAGGGTCTTCCCAGCTGCACCTGCTTAGTGTTTGCTGGAGGGGGCTGTTCAGTCAGGCCATGGGTTGGAGCCCAGCACCTTTAACAAGCTGCCCGCCTGGAATGGCCTCCGAGGCTGGTTGTCTCCCCAGCCAGGGCTCTGAGGGCAGCCTACTCTGGGAACGGCTCCCCCGAAGAGAAGGTCTGGGAGGCAGAATTCAGAATGGGCTGCTGAGGAAGCAAGACCCAGCCTGGTGGGGCCATCTTGTGTGAGCCAGCCTGGGGCAGTGTGCACTCGGCAGGGGGCTCTCACTTCACTGTGGGACACCGATCTGGGTGGCGCCCTTCACCACAAGGGGCTTGCAAGGGCCTAGGTCCTCTTGTAGGAGCTACTGAGGAGCTTTCCAAAGCTTCCCCCACCTTTTTTTCTTCTGCAGTGCTGGGCCTAGCATGTGCTCTACCACACGCCACGGCCTGCCCTCAAAGCCAAGTTTGAAAGGACAAGGTTCTTGCTCTTGAGTCAGTTTTTGGAGCTAATCGTTAGGAGACAAGGCCCTGCACTGACACCAGGGGAAGGTGACAGGGGCAGGAGGCCCCAGATCCCTGTGACTAGAGGGCCTCAGGCAGGGTTCAAGGAAGGCACTCTCCCTGGTCCACAGTGGGTTAGCTTGGCGGTTCTAGGACCTGACCACAGAGCCTTGCAGATTTATTTAACCAGGAGAGCTGTGTGCCCCACTCTGGAAGGCTGGCTCTGGCTCTGCTCCCAGGCCTACATTCAGAAACCACCTGGGAAGGAGGGCGGTGAGCTGGGAGCTAACGCAGCACTCCAGGCAAGCAGACCCTGACCCTCATCCCAAGCCACCAGGCAGCTGTGTGTGTCCGGGGGGCCTCCAGAATGGTGGCCATGGCGAGGGACTGCCTCTGGGTGCCAGATACTCAAGGTGGCCCCTGCTCTTTCCCAGGACGTGTTTGAGATGAGGTTTGCCAAGATGCCAGATGAGCCGGTGGAGGCACCAGCACTGCCCACACCCACGGCCCCCGTGGTCAGCAAGGGCACCGAGAGCAGCCGCAGCAGCGAGGAGAGCTCTTCCGACTCGGGCAGTTCTGACTCGGAGGAGGAGCGAGCCACGAGGCTGGCAGAGCTGCAGGAGCAGGTGAGACCGCCCTGCGCCCACTGTGGGCTCAGGCCTGTCTGCCCAGGGTCTGCTGCAGTCATAGCTTCCCGTCCCACCCACTGGGCATCCATCAGTGCAGCCCAGTGGTCCTTCAGTGGGCTTTGCTGGAAGACTTGGTTGGGGGGCCAGGCGCCCTCCATGTGTGCGCAGCTAGAGCCTGACCACAAGAGCACGTGGCATTGCATGGGCACATGTGCCCTGGACATTCTCGGAGACGTGATGGGCCTTGGGGTGGGGTCTCTGGCTCTGAGCAGAAAGGTTGCTGCCCCTGAGTGTCTGGCCAGCTCTGCCCTCCTTCCCCTCCCAGCCCTGCCTCCCCTGCCCTGCACAGCCAGCCCTGTGGGCGTCGTGTCAGAGGGAACACTGGCTGTGAGCACAGGGCTGCTCCCCAGAACTGGGCTGGACATTTGATTTGGCATGAAGAGAGGCCATGGGATAGGCCATCTGCTCACCTGCAGGGCGTGGACCTGGTGCCCCTCTTCCCTGGCTTAGAGGAGGCTGCTGACATGAGGGTGCAGCTCACAGCTCTGCGGGCTGCAGGGTGGCTACAGGGAATGTAAGCTGGCCTCCAGGTGCTGCCCCTCCTGCATGTCTCCTGCATGAGTGGTCTTGCTCAGGCACTTTTGCCTCCAGCATCATTCTCACCTGAAGGCAGTAATAGTCTCTGGGTGTGCTGGCACACACCAGTGATCCCAGCCACTCAGGAGCCCGAGGCAGGAGGACAGCAAGTCCCAGGCCAGCCTGGGCAACTCAGACCCTGCCTTAAAATAAAGAATAGCAAGGTGGGCTTGGGTGTCGCCCAGTGCCAGAGCACCCTGGGGTTCGATCCCTAGTACCACACTCACCCACACAAAATGAAAACAGGTAGCAATAACACCAGCTGCTGTTGCTGAGGACTCTTGCATCCCGCCTGCTCTGGGCAATGGTGCCCCGTGCCCTGTAGGTGAAGAAATGGCCTCAGAGTGGTGGTGACAGCCAGCAGCCTCCTGGAGCCAGGAAGAGGGTCCGAACAGCTTCCTGCCCTGCCTGGCTGTCCCCGGTGCACAGCCAGCCTGTGCCCAGGGCCTGCAGAGAGCCCTACTCAGCCGCCCACTCTCTTCCAGCTGAAGGCCGTGCATGAGCAGCTGGCCGCCCTGTCTCAGGCCCCCGTGAACAAACCAAAGAAGAAAAAGGAGAAGAAGGAGAAGGAGAAAAAGAAGAAGGACAAGGACAGGGAGAAGGAGAAGCACAAGGCCAAGCCCGAGGAGGAGAAGAAGGCCAAGGGCATCCCGCCGGCCAAGCAGGCTCCGCAGAAGAAGGCCCCCGCCAAGAAGGCCAGCAGCACCACGGCCGGCAGGTGGGCCCTGCGGCCCGGGGGGGGGGGGGGGGGCAGGGGGCAGGGGCTTGGGCTCTGCTGCCTGGGAATGCACGCAGGGTTCCCGGACACGGCGTACAGCCAGACCTGCCAGAGGGCCCTCAGCTCTGGAATGCGTCCACCTCCACCTGTCAAGAACCTGGGGCCTTTTCCTGATCTGGGCTAGGGGTCTTTTCTGGGGATCTTGTGTTCTCGGATTCTGGCCCACCCGGTAGGGCAGGGGTCGGTGTGATGGGTGGTGCCTCAGCACCCAGCCTTCTGATGAGCTCTTGCTGTGGCCGCCCTGAGGAGGTGCAGGATGCTTGCCCTGTGGCGGGAGTGGGGGGTGGGCAACCTCTGCTGGGCAGCACCTGGAGGCCAGCAGGTGTGTTCCTTTGGGAGTGAGGGCAGAATTGTCCTGCTGAGGAAGCTGAGAAGGGGGTTAGGCCGAGAGCAAGGACTGAAGTGGCCAGACCCTGGCACCTCACTGGAGCTGGTTGTGGGTGAGGGCAGCAGCTGGTGTAGCAGTTGCCAGCTGTTGGGAGTCCGAGCGGCAGGCCTTGGTGTGGATGCAGGGCTGTGGATCCCAGGGTCAGGCTTTGGTGGCTGGGGGGAGATGGAGCTGGTGAGTGGGAGAGTCTGGGGGGTGCTTTCCTATCTCCAACTTCCCCTCCTGCCGCAGTCTGGCTGGGCACAAATCACTGAGCCGCCACAAAGCACTTGTGTGTTCAAACAGGAGACTTTATTGCCTGAACTCCAACAGCACTCCACGCACACTCCCTGGAAACTCCCCGAATGCCACCCACACGGCCCCTCTCCCTTACACCACACCAACCGGAACTCCCTCCACCGGAACTTCACCAACCAACACGAACTCCCCAGGAAATCCCCGCAAGAACTCCAAAGTAGCGGGCTCCAGAGTCGGTCAGCAGGGGTCTGTGTACAGTTGAATCAATCCAGCAGCATCTTAATGGCTCGCCTCTTAACCATTACTTCTGGCAAAATGCCAGGGGCCATTCCGACTGGCTGTGGCTCTCAACACCCTCCCTTCCTCCCTCCCTCCTTCCCTTCCAGTCTTCGGGAGGGGGTTGCAGATTCTGGCTTTCTTTGTGCTTTCTGGGTTTGGTACCAGTATTATGCCAGCTGCAAAAATGGTGACACATAAAAGCCAGGCGTGGTGCTGCGCACCTGGAATCCCAGCACCTCCAGAGGCTGAGACGGGAGGATCCCAAGTTCAAGGCCAGCCTTAGCAACTGAGTAAGGCCCTGTCTCAAAATTTAAAAAAACTAAAAATAAAAACGGTTGGGGATGTGGCTCAGTGGTTAAGTGCCTGTGGGTTAAATCCCCAGTACCCAAGGAAAAAAGTGGACTGTAACACTCAGAGTGGTCAGGGACTACGAAAACGAGAGCACCCCCTCTTCTCTTTTCTGGGGTAGATTTGTAGGATTGGTATAAATTCTTAAACGTTTGGTAGAATTCACCAGCAAAACCGTCTGGACCTAAAGGTTCTGATTGTTGGATAGTCTGAGCACAAATTCAAGTGTTTTCATGATCTGGGATATGAATCGTGTGAGCTCACTAGGCCCTTGTGTGTCTTCCCATGTTCCCTTTGGGACGTGTCTGCACGCAGGCTGTGTGTCATGTTCCCCTGGCACCTGCAGACCAGGCGTGATGCGCCTCTCCATCCCTGTGTTGGGAGTCTGCATGGACACTGTGGGTGTCACTGCTCGCGTCGAGGTTCCTTCAGCTGTTCTCCTGCCCTCACCTCCAGCCTTTGCTCTTGCTCTGCCTTTTAGACTTGGTCCGCTCTCCTTGCAGGCTCTTAGGACACGGTCACAGAGTGCTCCCCTGGGCCTTGCTGATGGGCGCTCCTGGCAGTCTGACCTCGCATGAGCGCCGTCCGCTTGGCTGCAGGCTACAGAAGGACTCTGGTTGCATCATTCGGTCAAAGACGCCATCTTTGACCACTGGGTCATTTGGAGTTGGGTCGTCTAAGTTCTGAACGTTTGGGGATTTTTCCTGCTGTGATTGGGTTCTTGTTTAAGTCCATTAGGTCCCAGGACCTGCTCTGTGACTCCGACACTTTTTGAGTTTGCTAGGGTTAATTTCACATGGCGTGTCTCTGAGGGCAGATGTCCTCCTAGGGTGGGTGGTCTCCAAGCTCCAGGCGGGCACAGTGTGCCCATCTGGGTGGCTGGCGGCTGGCTCCCGTGTCACTCCTGGCCTGGGGGAACTGTGCAAGTCTGATGTCGTGTGGGGCCTGCCTCCCTTGTCGCCCAGCTTGGCTTCACGTCTTGAGGCCTGGCTCCTGGACACCCCTCGGTCAGCAGACTGCTGGTCACGACCCTTTCCCTGAGGCTCTCCCTCATTCTGAAGCCCACTTCTGAGGCAGGTGTGGCCGTGGGTTTCCTCGGAGCCTGCTCCTGTGGCACTCAGTACAGGCCTGCTCTTGTCCTTCTCCCTGCTGCAGGCTGTGCCTGGGCCATGCGTGGTCCTGCAGTTGGTGGCAGGTCTGGATGCCCCCAACCCTCTTGTCCCCCTCCCTGCCTTCTTTTGGATGGTTTGGCCGTGGACACCTGCTTTGGGTGTTGGTTGAGAGTGCTGTGGGGTGCTGAGGGGAGCGGGCTGTAGGCCAGGCCAGCTGTCTTGACCCTGACCATGACCGAGACCCTGAAGCAGGGTCTGCCCAGCAGCTCTGCCCCCAGGGGTCATCCAGCCTGTGGTGGCTGGGAACTGGAGGCCATGCTCTCCGTCTTGTGCCTTAGACAGCTGAAGAAGGGCAGCAAGCAGGCGTCGGCGTCCTACGACTCCGAAGAGGAGGAGGAGGGTCTGCCCATGAGCTACGATGAGAAGCGCCAGCTCAGCCTGGACATCAACCGGCTGCCGGGGGAGAAGCTGGGCCGCGTGGTGCACATCATCCAGTCGCGGGAGCCCTCCCTCAGGGACTCCAACCCCGATGAGATCGAGATCGACTTCGAGACTCTGAAACCCACCACCTTAAGGGAACTGGAGAGATATGTCAAGTCTTGCTTACAGAAGAAGCAGAGAAAGCCCTTCTGTAAGTCACCTGGAGGGTCACAGCCCCTTCCCTCCTCCCTCCTCTGTCCTCACGGCCCCCCACGCTGTGCCCTGAGAGCATCTGGCAGGGGCTGAGCCTCTGCAGCCCTCTTGCCCTGCTCTGAGGCCTCAGCCTTGCCTAGGGAAGGCAGAATCCCAGGTGGCCCGCCACCACTCACTCAGCGTCTGGCTGGGGTCATCACACACCTTCCCGAGGCTCTCTTTGAGGCTGTGTAGCAGCTGCAGGGGCGGACTTCCCTCCTTGGCCTGGGGCCCAGTGTCCACAGGGTGGACTCCAGCCCTCCCCCCAGACATTCCTACAAAGTCAGTGATTTCACTGGGTCTGCAGGTGCTGGAGTCAGGTTGGGGACAGACCCTAGTGGTCCCACAGTAGGCTGTGCAGGGTGGCAGCTCACGTGACCTGCGTGCAGTTGCATAGGCAGCCTCCTTCCCTTGGATGGCCTATCCATGTGGCCTGTGTGGCCACAGCACATTAGACCAGGTAAGTCACCTGTCCACTTGGAGGCAGTGACATGTCAGGTATGGAGCCCAGACTTCAGAACACAATAGCCTTGCAGCACAGGCAGGGGATAGGCAGTGTCGCCATGAGGGAGGGCTGCCTGGGGCTCCGCCTCAGGACTGCCCTGTCCTTCCCACAAGCGGGTGGCACGCCTCTTCTGTGCACCCAGTAGTGGGTGGAAAGGGCCCATTCCCCTTCAGAATCCTCGAAAAAAGCCTTAAAAACAAGGCTTTGCACATGGCGAGGGCTCAGGGTGTGGTTCCATGTCATCTGGTCCTTTCTGTGGCTCGGGGTCTGGGCGCAGCTTTGTGCAGGGGATGCACTGGCCTGGGGTCAGGCAGTGGTGCACAGCAGGTGAGGGCTGGCTGCGGCCCCTGGTTGGCTCTCAGTGCTCATCTGTCCCTGCACAGCAACAAGCGGGAAGAAGCAGGCGGCCAAGTCGAAGGAGGAGCTGGCCCAGGAGAAGAAGAAGGAGCTGGAGAAGCGGCTGCAGGACGTCAGTGGGCAGCTAAACAGCAAGAAGCCCACCAAGAAAGGTACCCACGGGGTGGCCCCGTGCCCTCTGTCTGGAGGGCAGTGGTCACCAGGGGTGCGAGCGTGCAGTTGGGTTCGCCAGTGAGCTCTGCTCTGAGATGGGGCACTCAGCCCCTGAAGCCTCAGCTTGTCCTTGTGGCTTGTGTGGCCCCAGCCCAGGCCCCGGGGGGTTTCACGTGTGAGGTATACGTACAAGCCCCACGTTCCCAGAGGCAGAGGCAGATGGCCCTGCTGGCAGGGAGAGCCTGGAGTCTGTTGGGCAGCCTCCCAGCCTCTCTGTAGCAAGTTTCCTGACCGCCACAGCTAGGCACCCGCTCTCCACGGGGCGTTACACGGGGAGAGCAGGGGGCTGTCCCAGCCGGGCCTTCTGCTTGGTGCACACCCAAGACTTGTGGCTAGGCGAGCCAGTATTTGAGTCCTTGCCTCCCTTTTCTGGGGCCTTGAAGAAAGAGCAACTGTCTTTTTCCCTGAACACCCCAGGAGCAGGCCGCTGAGACACACCTGGGGGATGGTATGGGCTGGGGGCTGATCGCGGGAGCCCAGTCCCTGGCTAGTCTGGCCTGCTTGGACACCCATCGAGAGCCACAGCCTTGCAGAGGCCCCTCTGCCTCGTGTTGGGACGGCCAGCGCTCCTGCCAGCACTGTGGAAGGCAGCAAGGGTGCTCCAGGAGGGCCTGCACCGCTGTCCCTCAGCTGGTGGCTGCGCCCTGACGGGAGGCTTCTCGAGGCGCCCTCCCCAGCTCCCCTTAGCAGACTGCATTTGTCCGTTGTCTGGAGCGTGCTGAAGTGGTCTCACTGCCCTCGTGAATTCATCTCAACGGGTGTTTACTGACCGCTAGGCCAAGAAGGGGGTGAACTGTGACACAACGTGCTGTGCAGTGCCTGCCCCCAGCTCCCCGCCCTGTGTCTCCTACAGAGAAATCCGGCTCCGCGCCCTCTGGGGGACCATCGCGGCTCAGCAGCAGCAGCTCCTCGGAGTCGGGCAGCAGCAGCTCCAGCGGGTCCAGCTCCGACAGCAGCGACTCCGAGTGACGGGACTGGAAGCAGCAGGCGGAGGATGCCCACAGCGAGCCCTGCGGTGCCCGTGGTCAATACACTGCTTTGTTCCATGGTGTGCAGGTCTTCTTTGATTCAGTGTTACGGTATCTTCCAGTTCTGCTCCAGTAGGTCAGAGGTCCTCCCTGTGCGTGCGTGCATCGGACTCCAGAAGGTGTGGCCCCGCTAGTCTTTTCTTCGTAACTCGGTTCAGTTGCTTGGAGACGACGGCCTCAGATGCTAACCTGACAGCGACCCCTGGACCCCTGCGAGGCAGGATCTGAAGGACCTTGCAGAGTCCCTGTTCCCAGCCCAACCTGGGCTGTCCTCGGAGGGAGACTGACGTGGGTACTGTATTGAAAGCTTTGCCAGCGTGTGGTATCTTTGCCATTTGGGCTGCAGCCCTCGTGCCACTGCGGTCACCCCTGCCGGGGCCAAGGACAGGTGTGCCTGCCAGTGAGGCCCCGCTGGGCCTAGTGAGGCGCTGTGCAGCTCCACAGCCGAGTGTGCCGTGGGGCGGGTGTGCGGGCGGGCGTCTGGTCTCCGGCCACAGCGGCAGCAGCAGGAGCTTCCGGGACCGAACACAGCTACTGCATGTGCGGCGTCCGGGTTTCCAACACTGAAACTTTTACCTCAACTTAAAAAAAAAAAAAAAAAAAAATTAAAAAAAAGAGAGACTTTTTTGTAAGGTTCAGCGGTTTTCTATAAAAGTCCAGCCCGTGTGTCCCCATCTGGTCAGTGCTGCCCTGGCTGCTGCCGCACACTCTGGAACCACTTCCCTAGTTTATGTATATATAAATACTTTATTTATTAACATCATTGGTCATTTTTTAAAAAAAAAAAAAAAAGAAAAGAAAAACAAAACCGTGAAAGAAGTGCATTAGGAGAAGTCGCAGAGACGCTGGCCTCCGGGCCCCGGCCTCCGGGCCCCGGCCTCCCCGCCTGCCGGGCTGGTGCTCATCCGTCTGTGTGCTCCTCCTGAGTCCGGTGGCTTTTTTGGTTCTTCTCGTGGGTTACTTTGTTTCTGCTTTTGTTTCTGTAACATTGGAGACTTACTAAGGGGGACACCTCTCAGCTACAGCACACTTAGGTATTTACGTTGGTTCAGTTCTCTCATATTCACTTACGGTCTCTTTAAGACTTAAAATCAACTTAGGGAACCCCAGTTCTATAACATAAGCTTTGTAATCTGAGAGAGAAGAAATGTATAGTAAATCAAAGGCTCGATTTTTAACTTTCTATTGTAAAAAGTAATAATATACAGAGTTTAACGGAAGGTTCTGTTTGGTTCTGTTTTTTTGGAGGCTGCCGTCTGGCCCAGCCAAGCTCTGCCCAGCCGAGCTCTGCGCACCGTGGCTTTGGCCGGCCTGCCCCCTGCTCACCCAAGCCTCCAGGGGCCTGGCCGGTCTGCCCAGGCATGGAGGCCACCCTGGGGTCCACACAGTGCTGCCTGCTGGAGAAATGCCTGCCCTAGGTGTCCTCACAGACCCCCAGATGAGGGCCCCAGGGGCTGTGGGGTCCATGCCTCGGCGGCTTGGTCTGGTGGTCCGTGGTCCCCACAGGCACGCCTGGGTGAATATAGGACTGGTCGTGGGCATCCCTGGGCAGGTGACGTTTCAGTCCCTGGCCCTCCGCAGGTGTGGGAGTGCCTGGTGGGCTGCCGGCAATTCTGCCACTTGGCTTGTTAAACTTTTAAGTCAGTTTTGTTTATAGTAAAAATATAAATGGATTTTAAAGTTCCATTTTTAAAAGTTACCCTTGTTTTTCAAAGGTATTTTCTAAATAGATCTTTAATAGAATATTTAAACTGTGATTTTAAGGAATTAACACGAGATCGACAGGTCTTCGCACAGGATCTGAGTGGTGACGTTCCAGGAGTGCACTCTTGGGCGAGGCACAGGCCCCAGCCAGGGTCCCTGGGGGAGCTGCAGGTAGTGAGGTGTCGCCCGTGGGAGCTGGCCCGGGAGAAGCAGCTGGAGTTGGTGCAGTGGCCCGCTGTCCACCATGTTTGACGCAACCGCCACCCGCCCTTCTCGCAGGTTCCTGGCTTGGCGGCTCCCGGGCTGTGGCCACACTGAGCGCACAGCTCTTGGTGCTGTAACTTCAGGCCTTCTGTCCAGACTCAACACTGTTTCTCTTCAGTTTTGGAGGGTCAGCGACTCCCTTGAGACCCTTGGTGTGAGCTGTGGGCGCCTGGTGCCCCACTCACCTATGTGGGGAGGACTGCAGTGGCTCCACTAGATTGTCCCTTGCGGAGAGCCGTAGGGCAGCTCTCGGCAGGCTTCCTTGGCAAGGGTGCAGGAAGGGCAGGAGGAGCCTTGGAGGCCAGGCCAGGCCTGGGTGGCCCCGGGCCCAGGCCCTCCTGCTGGCCTGCCCCCCCCCACAGGCTTGCTCACAGACCGAGATGCGTTTTCTTGTTCGTTTGGTTTTGTTCTTTTCAGCGTCCCGCCTTTTACTGTCACTGGGAAAAGCAATGCCGCCTCAAGGCTGTCACACCCACTGTGTACCGCTGTTCCCTGATGACACTAACACAGGACATTTTCCTTTTTATATCTAAAATGTTACTTTTCTGTATGATGTGCATGCAAGTTTACCGTAACTTTTCTTAACTTTTTAGTGCCGTTTCTAGTATATTCCTGTAAATGTCAGTTACTGAAAAAGAGTCCGGTGTAAGTAGTTTAGCTTGTTTATTGCAATGCTGGCCTCAACACCACAGAATAAAAATGGTAGAGAGTACTCTGATGTTTCTGGTAATCATGGACCCTTCTCCTGGGGCATTTGTTTTGTTTTCATAATAAAAAGAAGAAAAAGGCCAACTGTGTGCTGTCCTGTGCTTTCTGCGGCGGCTCCCTGACTCGGGCCGCATGGTGAAGCTCTTGGCAGAGCACCCAGAGCATCCCACAGCTCCCGCCCTCCCCCTGGCCTCCCTGAGAGCTCCGCCCTCCTTCCTAGTACCGGCTTCTGGGACAGGCTGCTGTGTGTGAGGGGGAGAACCAGGCTCCTGCGCCCCTGCCCCCACCCCAGGCTGCCTTCAGAGATGCGGGCACTCCCCCTGCTGGGCCTCCCCTAGCACTTGCCCCTCGGGCCTCAGCTACACTGAGGCCATTGCCTGTGGTGCAGGCATCCAGCCCTCTTTCTGGGTCCAGCGGGCCAGGCATGATCGGAGTGCACCAAGAACAGGTCTGGACAAGGTCCCAACACTGCTCAAGATGGCCATGGAGAGTGGTCCCAGATCTTCCTGGAGAGGAGGTACTCAAGTGACTGGCCCCAGCACAGGCCAGGGAGCATGTCCACCCCCACCCCAGCTGAGTCAGGCCGATTGTCACTCCTACTGACACTGATCTTCACATTCAGACCAGCCTTCTCCAGCGTAGCACTGGCCTGTCCACCTCAGGCAGATGCCACCTTCCTGCAGCCTAAGCAGCTTAGCACCAGCTGTCCCATGTATGGGTGGAGGCCTGTTTGTCACCTGCATCCGCTGACCCCTCCAGAGACTGGCCCAGTGAGTCTTATCCTCCCTGTGCTGATGTATCCTCAGACCCCAACCCATTTAAGTGTTGTCCCATACTGACCTGACCTTGATCTGTCCTTAGGTTAGTCATAGATGCAGTGAGCAGGTGGCATTCAGGTACTGCAGATAAGTGTGGGCTTGTTTTCTTCCCAAGCAGGGATTACACAAGAACCGAAAACCCGTTGACAGAAACTACCTAGTAGTCTTGGCACAGTTCCCAAGTGCCAGGTCCCCTTGATAGGTGAGCCTTTGCTAAGTCTTCCTCTAGCAGATGGATAGTCCACCAGCCCTGAGCATCCCCTGTGGGACTGTGGCACTTCAGGAAGTCTCACCTTAAGCCTTCTGGTTTGAGGCAGCCAGCAGACCAGGGGCCAAGCAGAAAGGCCCAGGCTGCAGCTGACCTGTGGTGTTGGCCAGCGCACCAGCACGGCTGCAGGGGGCCAGCACAGTGAGCACGCTGTGCTCAGGACAGGCTGCGTGCAATGGGGACGAGCTGGGCGCTACCGCTGGCCACCTGCCAGGTGTCACAGGCAGAAACAGGCCCTGTCTGAACAGCTGAGTGGAGGGAATGCATGGGCAGAGGACGCCCTCCAAGTATGAGCGTGGAGACGTGCACCCCACGGCGACAGCGATGCTCTCTGGGGCACTAGGGCTTTAGCAGTCCTCAGGTAGCACCAAGAAACCAAAAGCCAAGTAAGATCAAGAACACATTAAAAAATGAGGGAAGGAGAATCCTAAAGGATGTTTATTTAGATGAGAGAATCCACAGACAAAGCACACCTGACATCTGCATCGCCATGGGAATGGGCATGACAGCAGGGGGCAAGTTCTTTCAAAATGACTTGAGGAAACTGCCCACAGAGGTGGGCACTGTTGCCCGTGTGCAGAGATGACAAGTCAAACGTCGGGCAGCTGCAGCTCAGAGTACAAAGACCAAAATACTCCATCCAGGGAGGAACCTGCCTTTCTCAACCATGGGACTATGTTTGAAAGCCCTGTAGGCAACTCCTGTGGGGCTTAAAATTTGGGAGTTTCCTTAAGGGGTTCAGGATGTACTTGCCTGTGAGCCAAGGTCTGGGCCAGTGAGGATTGTGCTGGACTATGGCTACTAAGGTGCCACCTCTGCTGGGCTGGCCACGGGCCACGACATGCACGCTGATGGATCTCACCTGTTCTTCACCAGGCAGAAGTTACTACTCAAATAACCTGTAAGGCCTTGAGGGCTGAGGACACAGCTCCATGGCAGAGCACTTGCTTATCACATGAGGCCTGGTTCCATCCCAGCAAAGCAAACCAGCAAACGAAAACCTTGAAGGGGGGTTGCAAGGTGGTCTTGTCTGGAAACAGAAACACAGCGACCAGCAGTGCCCAGGCCCTCTATTCCCTGCAGCACCTGGTGCAGCGGCATGTCATAATGTTGGGCTACAAAGGTCCCCAGCAATCTCTGGGTACCAGTTGCACTGATCTGTGCTAAAGGGCTTGGAGCTGGGCTTCTTGGGTTCTTACACAGGAGCTCAATCTTCGTGGTCTTTAAGATCTCCAACAAGAAATGAACAGGACCATGGAACAGATTAGTCTCCTTTTCCTCAAGGCTTGGCACTTGAGTGCAGCTTTCCACACTGGAATTACATAATTATGCAAAACTTGGATTGCCCAGTGTCTCGGGAGACCTCAAGCTTGTTTCTATCTCTGACTAAGATGGCCTCGTTTCCATACTGTGAGTACCACATGCTTCGGCTCCTGCTCAGGTATGTCCCAGGTGGCACAAATTCCAACTTCTGCTGCTGCTGTTGCCAGATGAGCAAGGAAGTGTCCCTGTACCTTAGGCGGGCGTAGCCTTCCGACAGGGCCTTCTCTGCCAGCGGGACTCTGCCACTCATCCCAGCGCGGGCTCCTGCACGGGCTGCCCTCGCGTGCGGAGGGCTGCGGGCTGCTCCACTCTGGACTAACGAACAACTCTCGCAGCAGCCAGGTTTGAGGATGCCTTGTCCAACGCACTGGGGGAGGTTAGGGGTTCGGACTGTTTGCAGGACACATCCTTAGCAGGGCGGCGTGACGAGGAAAGGAGATGTGCCTCTGGGAGTTGGTGAGCCACCTGCAGCGCCATTCGGGACGGCCCACGGGTCACGGCTGCCAGGCACGGTGGTGTGCCCACACGGACAGGGCTAGGCACCACTCTGGGGCCTGTGGAGCGTCGTGCCTCCGCGCCGCGGCCTGGACAGCTGTGCGGGAGACAACTCCAGGCCCGGGCACAAGCGCGCGATGCAGCCAGACCCGCGGGGAGGGGCGGCGTGTGCAAGCCGCGCACTGACCAGTCCTCCCGGCCCGGGAAGAGCCGCCGCGCGCCCATACGCTGGAGTTCGGGCCCCGCGCCGCGCCGCTCCCCGCGCGGCCAGGCTAGAGGCCAGAGGCCGTGGGCGCCGCCGGCCCGAGGCCACAGGGGCAGGCTCCACGGCCGCGCATCGGGGCCGCCCCGGCCGGGGGCCGAACCCGCCGGCCACGCTCCGCACCACCTCGCGCTCCCCGGGTGGCGGGGCTGGGCGGGCGGCCGGGCGGGACCCCCACGCCGCCCGGCAGGCGCGCGCCCGGCTGGCCCCCCACGCCTCGGCGCCTCTCCTGCGCTCGGGCAGCGGCCGGGGGCGGGGCCGCGACCGCGTCGCCACGGCAACGCGCAGGCACGGCGAGCCGAGCGCCGAGGGCGAGCAGGCGCGCACGAGCTCGGACCATCGATCCCTCCACGGGGCGGGGACCAGCCAGGAGATAGCGCGTGCGCCTCTGGGTGCCGAGGAGGGGGCCAGGCTAGAGGAGGGGCTGGGGAGGATCCAGGGACGAGGAGGGGACGGACAGGAGGGAGAAGGATTTGGGTCGGATGCGGGGGAGGAGAAACCAGGGAAGGGGAGGAGCCGGGGAGGAGCAGCGGACTGGGAGGAGAAGCCAGAGGAGGAGCGGCTGGGGAGGGGAGGAGGAGCTGGGGAAGGAGGAGTAATGGAGGAGAAAGAAGAGGAGCTGGGGAGAACCGCAGACGAGGAGGGGAAGGCAGAGGAGGAGCGGCTGGGGAGGGGAGGAGGAGCCGGGGAGGAGGAGCAGCTGGGGAGGGGAGGAGGAGCCGGGGAGGAGGAGCGGCTGGGGAGGGGAGGAGGAGCCGGGGAGGAGGAGGGGCTGGAGGCAGGAGGAGAAGACTAGAAGAGGAGCCGCCGGCGGGGAGGAGGAGAGAGCCAGAGGAGGAGCTGGGAGAGAGCAGAAAGTCCAGCTAGAGGAGCTGGGGAGGAGCCCAGAGCCACCGCCACCCTAGGTCCTGTCATTTTTCTGGTGGTGTTTTTGTATCGCTGCTCGCGTAGTTACTTTTGTCAGAAATATTGTATTTCTATTATCCTCTCACCCTAGTAATGGTTCAGGTATTTTTGATTTATTAAATGTGTGAGGCATACTGTTTCAAAAAAGGGTGTCAGCCGGGCGCGGAGGCACAGGCCTGTAATCTCAGCCGTTCGGGAGCTGAGGCAGGAGGATCAGAAGTTCAAAGCCAGCCTCAGCAATTTAGACCGTAAGCAACTTTTAGAGAGACTTTGTGTTTAAATAAATAAAAAAGACTGGAGATGCGGCTCAGTGGTTAAGCTCCTCTGGATTCAATACCCAGTACCAAAACCCACAAAAAAGTGGCAAACCCATCCATCACCCAGCCAGCCCGCCCGCATGCTGCTTGTTGGAAGTGCTGCTGAAAATCAGCTTGTTCCTTTTGCACGAGCCTCCAGTTGGACCCTGGTGAGGCTCTCCTTTCCTTCTTGAAGATCAGTTGATTGGTACCGGAGGTGGAACTCAGGAGCACTCGACCACTGAGCCACATCCCCAGCCCTATTTTGTATTTTATTTAGAGACAGGGTCTCACTGAGTTGCTTAGTGCCTCGCTTTTGGTGAGGCTGCTTTGAACTCGCGATCCTCCTGCCTCAGCCTCCTGAGCGGCTGAGATTACAGGCGTCGCCACCGTGGCCAGCTTATTAGGATTTCCAACACCAATTAAGAAAACGTAGCGGACGCCCACAGAACATCAAACCCGCAACTGTAAATGCGCCGTCTTCACAACTACCCAAGACCTTGACCAGAACTGACCATGCAATGCACCACACAGAAGCTTGAACAAGCAAGAGAGCGGGTGCTGGGAGGCTTGGCCGGAGGACTGGCACCTTCAGCTCTGAGTAAGCACTGAAGAAGAACCGGCCACACACGGAGGCTGTGGGGCAGGGGTATGGGGGTCAGCGTGAGTGTGGCACACTATTCATACATATATGGAAACATTGCATTATACTCTTTTGACAGTGAAACCTCAATAACCTCAGAGGAAAAAAAAGATATTCCCAATCTCTCATGGGTCAAAGACTCAATAGAAAATGTTTAGTGGTTTTTAAATTTTCACTTACTTTTGTTCATATTTTACATTTTTTAAATCTGAAGGAAAATAGATTGTTTCTTGAGTCTTGAATCCAGAATACACCTGGGTAATTTTGTCTTTCTTTTATTTTCTGTGTCTGGAGCAAAGGTTTCTGAGAATCACATTCCAGTGTTTTCGTGTTCCTGGAGGGCTGGGGAGGTAGCTGAGAGGTAGAGTGCTTGCTTACCTGCCTGAGTCCTGGCTGAATTCCCAGCAGGTGCAGAGGTCCAGGCCATAGCTGGTGGACACCATGGCTCTGGGCCCAAGGAGAGGCAGAGCATCATGGAGGAAGGGCCTCCAGAGGGAAGCGGCCCAGGATGTGATGTCAAGGAGGAAGGGACAGTTGGTTGGTTGGTTGTTTTTTTTTTTTTTTTGCACTGGGAATTGAGCCCAGGGGCACTTAACCACTGAGCCACATCCCGGCTCTTTTTAGAAATTTTGTTTAGGGCTGGGGCTGTGGCTCAGTGGTAGAGCACTTGCCTAGCACCTGTGAGACACTGGGTTAGATCCCCAGCACCACATTAAAAAAAAAAAAAAAAAACTAAATAAACAAAATAAAGATATTATAAAGGTATTTAGAGACAGGGTCTGGCTAAGTTGCTGAGGCTGGCTTTGAACTCAGGATCCTCTTGCCTCAGCCTCTGAGCCTCTAGGATCACAGGCGTGCTCCACTCAGCCCGGATCAGATTATTGATTTTGAGATAGGGTCCCAGTATGTTGCCCAGTCCAGCCTCCAACTCCTGAGCTCAAGTGGTCCTCCTGATTTAGCCTCCCTGGTAGCTGGGAATACAGGTGCACACTACCACAACCACAAAATATTTTATTGATTTATAACAGCATATATCAAAACTTATAGGGTGTGATTAATATTGGCCCCTGATGACCATCATTCTGCTTCTGGTTGCTATGAGCTTACATTTTTAGGTTCTGCATACCAACGAAGCCATGCAGTGTTTGTCTTTCTGTGTCTGGTTTGATTGGCTGAGCATAATGTCTTCTTTTTTTCCTGTTTATTTGTTTTGCTTTTTCAATGAGCATGTCTCAAGGTTCCTCTCTGTTGTTTCAAATGCCAGGATTTCTAAAATCTTTTTGAAAATAGTTACAGATGGACAAAATGCCTTTAATTTATTTTATTTTATATTTTTATGCGGTGCTAAGGATCTAACCTGGGATTGGGCAGGCTGACCCTAGACCTAGAAACCCCTAGACCACAGCACCCACTGGCAACCTTGAGGCTCCCCTCCAGCCACAGGAGCTTGAGGCCACTTTAATAAATACTCATTCTGTTCTCTCACCTTCTGCTGTCTGCAAATCTCATTCTTGAATTTGCAAGACAAAAAACCCACCTGACTCCACGCCCCTCCACATGTGGCCACTTGCACATAAACTGTCTTTTGCAAAACTAATTTCAGTGCATGGCCACCTGTGCAGGGGCAGAACCAGCCTGGCCCAGCAACACCCTTACTCAACCTCCTCGAAGATGCTCCATGACAGTGTTCCCATGGGAGCCCTGTCCAGCGTGGGCTACACCGGGATCACTCGGGTGAATTTGAGGTGACACAAAATGACCACACAGACATGGAAATACTTTTTTCTGGGTATCAGGATGGCTTCCCCACTCCATCTGCAAGCTCCCACAAAGGGGGACAGGAGGAAAACACGAGATGCTGGGGTGGGGAAAGAAGAAGTGGGGGCACGTTCTGAGGCTCAAATGTTGTTATTGGGGAAAGCTGTTTCATGGACCATTCTATCCAAAAAAAAGGCAAAAGGGTAGGATTACAACAAACAGGTGGATGTCACATTAAACCACGAGGCAAAGAAAAGACCGCCAACTCCAATTTTAAATCAAATTAAAGCAAGCTTGTAATTCCAGCTGGTCGGGACTGTCTCTCCCCAAATCCGTGGGTTAGAGGACAATCCCCCAGCTCTCTAGGAGCATGGTTTATAGCACAAAAAGTTGCAAACAGGGGTGTCTTGAGACCTTACAGATAACAGGATTTGACAAGCATAATACAAAGGCAGAGAGTAGGTTGATGATGTAAATGGTTCAACACTTCAAGGTAGGGTAATTTAGATCCCACACCAGAATTTATGAGGTGCCGCTGAGGTTTCAGAGAGGGTTGCTACCTGGTCAGGGAAAGCCAGGCATTCCAAGCAAGTTTAGAAATCGCGGTAATTTATAGTAAAACAGAAATCAACTTTTCATGATTTTGTGACGAGACGGCTCCCACTCTTCAGAGGGAATTAGGCTGGGTCCATCAGTCAGTCAGCCCCACCAGGTGATGTCCACTCCCAGAGCTGCATCTTTCCTGTCCCAGCAGAGGTGAAGTCCATTTGCATTGAAGGGTGCAATGCCAGTCCAGTACCTGGCTGCCCCGACACTCTGGTACTCCCCAATAAGCTGGTTACTCTTTGAGAAATCTTTCTCTGTATGTTGCTTTGGCCAATAAATTCACCACCTTTCCTCAGAAAACACCAGGTGCTGATGTGACACTAGGGAATGCCACCAAATATTTAAGGAAGGAGTAACACAGTTTTCTGGCATTAGCAAAAGAGGGAATAACTTCTTTTATGACCTTCATACTAACCCTCATGGAACATTGTAGGGAAGGGAGATTACTGGTTGACCTCACTAAAAATGTAAGTATGAAAGTCCTATGCAAAATAATGCATGTAACCTAGAAATACGTTCTCCACAGAAGTATGTAGTGCCTTGGGGCTGTCGCCTTGCCCTGGCCCTAGTGGCAGAGTGGCCCAGCTGAAGTTACCCCTCCCAAGTCTTGCTTGTCTTTGAGGACAGAAGATTCCAAGCCCAGAGTTCCTCTCCAGGCAGGCTACATAACACTAG